TGCTGAGCAGCTTCCGGCCTCAGTTTACCCGGCTATCCAAAGGGGAAGATCATGTCTGCCCTGTCCGCCTCTCTTGGGACTACTGTGAGACTGCAGCGTGGAAGTCACGCTGTTCACGATGCTGGACGCGCGGGATGAAAACAGCCTCCACTAAGAGAGGTCCTGACAGGGCCAGGGCCAGCTGGGTGGGACTGGGAGCCGCTGAGCTTGCAGCACACAGGGTGTTGTCTGGGGGCCAAGGAGGGTACCCTCACACCCCTGCACAGTCACACCCCCACCCCGGGTCCTTGCTGTGACCTGGATGCCAGCCACGGCCCCTTTTCTGGCACTGGCAGGTGGAGATACCCACAGGAGCACAGTGTCCCCAGCAGGCAGGGCTGGGCCACCCAGAGGTGTTTTAATAACGGGAGGCAGGGTCAAGGTCTGAACTCTACTCCCTACAAAATCAGAGCCCATTCATTCACACACCCCAACTGCACGTGCCTCAGTGTCCCCTCCTGGGACAATTAGGCTTCTGAGCATTGTTACAGGGCCCCCTGGAAGAGGAGGCCATCAAGTACAGGGAGCCCTGGAAATTGCTCAAAATAAATGTGTGTGTTTCTGTGGGAAAGGTTCACCACTTTCTTTGGTTCTCAACCACCTTACTGACCCAGGAAAGGTTAAGGAGCACTGTTGAGTGCAGAGGTGGACCCCCTCCCCCGCTATGGGACAGCACTTGGAAGGGCCACTCTGGAGAGCAACCTGGAAATCCCAAGTAGGGGTGGCTGTCTCACCCTGCAGGATATCAGACCTGTGGAAACTGCAAACCCTCAGAGCCACTGACAGGAGCTGGCTGGGAAATGGCCGAAGTCAGGAGTGGAGGTAGGTGGGGAGTTTGGTGGCAGAGTGTGGGGGAAGGGGAGCGGGAGGCACCACACAGCAAGGAAAAAGGCGGCTTGAAGGGAGATTTACTCATGCAATAGCTCTTTATGTGATTGTTTCTATATATCAGGCACAGTGCTCAGCCCAGTCCCCAGCAACAAAATAGACAGGCTCATCCTGCTCATGATATACAAGGCAGGCAGATACAGACACAGACAATGATTTTGAAGAGTGGAAAATGCTATGAAAAAAAGAAAACCAGGGAAGGGACTCACAATGAAGGGAAGGCCTTCTGAAGAAATTCCTCTGACCAGAGATCAAAATTCAGGGACTTGGGAGGAGCACTGAGCCAACAGGGCAGAAGAGCAATCTTCAAATTAACACACAGAAAAGAAGCATTTTGCTGGGCATGGTGGCACACACCTGTAATTCTAGCACTCTGGGAGACTGAGGCAGGAGAATCCCAAGTCCAGAGACGCAGCTCAGTGGGTAGGCCCCAGGTTCATTCCCCAGTCAAGCAAACAAAAACAAAAACAAAACAAAAAAGTGTATATTCACACACACACACTACCACAAAGTCAGACGGATGTCTGGACGGGCATTGAACGTAAGTGTCCCAAGGGGCAAAGGGGCAACCAGGACCAGGACTCACAGTGGGCTTCAGCTTGCCTTTAGCATTTTAATTTTTAAATATCTATTTAACTTTTTTTTTTGTACCAGGGATTGAACTTGGGTCCTTGCACTTGAAGGCAGGCCACCGAACCACTGAACTAAAGCCCCGGCCCCTTGTAATACTTGTTCTTAATGTGGTTAAATATACTCTCTTATAATTATGAGGTTAAAAACAAATTTAAATCACCATGGCAAAAAGGGTTTAGGGAGCTGGGGATTTAGCTTAGTGGTTCCACTGCCTGCCTCGCAAGAGGGATTGGTTCAGGGCAGCAAGCAGCTCAGCCCCTGCCCCCTCTTCAGTGGACCCACTTTCTGGGGCCTGGGGTCTGCTTGGAGAGGGGACGTATGGGATCATGGGAGACACGTGGGCACATGGTCCGGCCTGGAGGTGCTTCTTGGAGTATGTGCCTTCCTTGTAGAGGTGCCCATCATCCAGGTAGACAGGAAAATGGGTCTAGAGAAGCCATGATGTGTGCAGGTCCACAGGGCAAGAGCAGATGGGACAAGTGGAACCTGACACTTCAGACTGCCAGCCGAGTCGCCTTCTCAGGCCTGATCCCGGCTTCTTTGGGCAAAAGTTAGTCCTCACTACCCCAGTCAGGCCTTTCTGTCCAGCCCGTTCCCATAGCAGTTTCCAGTTTAGCGGCTCAGCCCTGCTCCGGGGGCAGGAAAGGAGCGCCACCTGCTGATGAAAAAGGGAAACACAGCTCAGTCCCTAGCGGGTCACACCCTTCAGACTCCCTCATGACATCTTCCACTGCCCTGTCTATTGGACACCTTCCTCCCAGTGCCTGCCTTTTGGGTCTGGTCTGCAAGGAGGAATAGCTGTTTCATCCGGGCAATCCACCTCACTTTTTCCAGGCCGGTGGGCATGGGTGTTGGGAGAGCTCAGGAGACAGAAGCACCTTGCATTAGTGGTTTACAAAGCATGGCCTCCTCTTTCTCCCGAATCTCGCTACAAAACTTTTGGGTACACAGTCTGATTGGCAGCTTGGACAAGTCCTCTAGGGAAGGGATAGCCTTGCTCAATGACAATGAGCAAGTGAGCACACAGACTGGTCCCAGAACGCAGGTCTCCTGTGTCGGCCTCGGGGAGATGGAGTGCAGGGAGGTGTCACACTTGAAAATAACTGATGCAGAGAAAATAATCAGTTCTGGGTTATGGTCCCTGAAGAGCCCCATCAGCATAACCTGATCCTGTTAGAAACAGAATCCCAGCCCTCCCCAGCCCTGCTGAGTTGGGAGTCTGGATGGAACCCAGCAAAGCAGCTAGAGAACCTGAACCACTGGTCTAAAGCAGCTGCTCCCAACTTATTTTTAATTAAATCAGTTTTATTCTGGAATGACTTGATTCACAGAAAATTTGCAAAGACAGGACAAAAAGTTCCCATCTAATCTCCACCCAGCCCTTCCTCTCACCCCAACAGCTTACAAATCACCTTCATTTTTTTTTTTTTTTGAGACAGGGTCTCACTATGTAGTTGAGGCTGACCTGGAGCTCACCAGGTAGCCAAGGCTGAGCTTGAACTCACAGCAATCCTCCTGCCTCAGCCTCCTGAGTGCTGGGATTACAGGCATGTGCCACTACACCCGGCTACAAATCACCTTCACATCACCAGAATACACTGTCAAAACCAACAGACCAACACTAGTTTAAAATTATTAACTAAAATCTAGACTATGTCAGATTTCAAGTTGTCCTACTAACATCTGGCTTTTTCCCCTGAGATCCAATGTAAGATACCATTTTGCATTTAAGACACTGCACCTTATCCCTTTTAATCATATTTCCAATGGGTGGAAGAGCTGTTGTCCTTGCTCTTGAGCTGGCAAGACTGAGGCTTGAAAATGCAGGGACTGAGTTCCCAGGGGCAGTGACACCAAGGCCTACCTCACTCTGTACCTTTCCTAGAAACTCTTGGTTTCCAGAAGTCCCTCTGGAATATCACCCTACCTCTGTCACACCAGTGTGGGCAATGATGCCCCTACTGGATCCAGCCCCGCCCATCTCCTCCTCGCCTAGACCCCCAGGTCTGTCTCAGTGACTGACTGGGCAGGGCGAGGCCGGCTGTGTGTGTATAACACTGCAATCTTCCCATCTAGTCCTTATGGAGGACGCACAGTAAGTCTGAGTGTCAAGGTTGGCCCCAGGTTCTCCGTAGTTCCTGTCTAGTGGTGCAATCTGTTGTTCATCCCTTGTATCCAGGCAAAGTCTTACAATTTTCCCTGACCAAAAGAACTCAGAAGTGAGATGGTCCTGGTCCTTAGAGTTCCTGTCACTTCTTACTCTCTGGGAACCCTAAGGCCATTGTGTAAATAAGCCCGAACTTAGTAGAGGCGCCATATGGAAGAGAACCACACCACCTAGCCAGCAGCCTCAGAAAAAGCACATGAAGTTATCCTAACCCAGTCTCAGCTGAGGTGACAGCTGTCTGTGGCCCCATGGTGACTTTAAGCAAGGCCAGCAGAGCTGCCCGGCACAAACTGTCAACCTAGAAATTGTGGATAGAGCAGTAACTTCTAGCTACTACTTTTGGGAGTGGTCCGTACACAGTAAAGCTAATACACAATTCCTCTTCCTTCCTGGTAAGCAAAGTTTACTTCAAGAGGCAGAGTGCCAGTCCCAGGAGAGGGAATAGGACTGGTGTGCTCAGCCATGACAATTCTGCTCCCTGCTGTGTTGGTGTTCTTCAAAGCTAGGGAGAAGGTAGCTGGCTCCGGCCAAGGAGACCTAGTGGAAATATGCAGGGCACAGAGTAGGGCAGATTACACTTCCTGATGGAGGTTGACAGGCCCAGCAGGCTTGGCCCTTCCCCTTCCCCCACGCCTTTCTTCCTTGAACCATGACATGATTCCTGGAGATACCATGCCAACTTGTGATCATGAAGTAACAAGCAACGAGAGCGAAAGGATCCCAGAGGCATAAACTCTTATCTTCACTGAGTTACTGGAACATACCATTTTGGCTACTTGCCTCCAGAATTCAGCCTTTCTTTGTTCAAGTCCCCATTACCCAGGCTTGTCTTTACTTGCAGCTGAGCAGTCCACCTAATAGGATACCATAAAGACGATGCAGAAGTTCCTTGTCCGTTGGAATCTCCAGATCCATCTCCTTGCTCAGGGGTGAGGCCTAAACCCACTCTCACAGAGGTGGGCACAGGGGCTCTCACACCACTTAGCATGAGTCCCAGGCCTGGCAGCTAGTAAAGCGGGTGCTGAGTCAGGCCCCCGCCCCGATGTGCAAAGAGGGGTGCCCTCGCTGGCCCGCCCACTGGGGCCAGGTATCTTCCTGAGGTTGCAGTGGCAGGTGGCAAGGAGCTGCTATTGCAAATCTGGTGTGGACGCACCCAGGTATACTCGGAGGTCTGAAAGGGTGGACTGCACAAGCTTGGCGGGGATGGTCTCTCGCTGCAGCTGCTGGTAGGCTGCGTAGCGGTGGCAGCCCCCGAAGGAGTAGTAGTAGTCACCACCCTGGGCCCCTTTGATCCACAGAACATCGATGGGTGGCACGTTGTCTGGGTCATCCTGGAGAGAGGAAGGGGGACACCTCATGAGTGACCACTGCCCCACACCTGAGTCTGCAGCAGGCTTTGTGCCCTGTGTGGGGCTCTGACAGAGCAGCTGAACCGGCAGGAGTAAGACACCATTAAATGTCCAGGAATCCTGTGGGCTGCCTGAATGTCAGGACGAGAGAGACTTCTACCAGGGCAAGGGGAAGATGCCACAAACAAGTATCTTCTCTCCCCAGGGACAGTCTGTGAAACACACATCTTTCCACCATGTGCCCTATCTCAGGCCCAGCCTGACTTCATGGGCTGTGGCCGAACAGGGTGGATGATATGAGGAAGTAAATGTTGCAGAGACAAATGCTATGAAGACAGTAACCCGGGTGACATGTGTGGGTTCTCTGAGGTGAACAGGAAGCAGAGATCCACCTGGGGAGCTAGAGATGTGGTATAGCTTTACAGCCTGGCTGCCTTGATTCAAGTCTTGCTCTGCTACTCACCAGTTATGTGACCTTGTGCAGTTAACTTCTGCGCCTCAGTTACCCCATCTATCAAATGGGGATGAAGACAACAGACCCATATCATAGGGGTACTGGGATGAGTGAGTTAACATATGCAAATAGCAATGCTTGGTACAGGAAATGTGTTCAGTAATGTCTGCCTGTGTTACCCAAGGGAAGAGCATTCCAGGCGGAGGGAACAGCCAATGCAAAGGCCCTGAGGTGAGAACAGCCCACTGTGCTGGAGGTATAGGCAGGAAGCCAATGAGACAAGTGGTCCTGGGGCTAAAAGAGTAGAAGAGGTAGAAAGGTCTGCAGAAGCTAGATGCAGCAGGTTTGTTTCTTGGAGCAGGGGTCCGCCCTGGAGCATTGAGACAGCAGGTGGCATGGTTTAATGCCATTCTAGAAACATGCACAGGAGAGCAGCTTGTGGGCGGGAGAAAGGCATGAGCAAGGCCTTTGTGTGTCTTCAGTAGAAGATGCAGGACTGCATGCTGTATGGCTGGGAAAGGGAGAGGCACACAGGTCTGGCACATGTTTAGGAGGCAGATCAGTGGGGTCTGGTGGGAAGTGGACATGAGGCCATGAGAAAGAGGAGAATCTTAGGTGACTTCCTAGTGGGAACCAACAAGCCAGGTGGAGGAGAGCCGTCCTCTAAGTAGGTGAAGCCTGGGCATGCTGGGGAAACATAAGTGTGACATACCTCGAAGGCCTCCTGCTACTGACCCATTTCTTAGGGGAAGCTGCTCTGACAGATTCATTAATCCAGATGTTGCATAGCTGGTTATTCAGCAGTGAGGCCCAGCAGTCATCAGTCAGGGTTCTGGAGCCTAGCAAACCAGGGGAGGGTGCTATGTAGCCAGCTTAGTCTCTCTAAACCTCCCACAGGGCGGCAGAAGGCACGAAGGTGAGCTGGAAGGCCTTGTGCAGGCCCAGGGTGAGGGGCAGGATAGTGGGGGGCAGTAATGGTCCCCAAAGATATCTGTACCCTAATCCTTAGAGGCTGTAAATATGTCACCTTACACAGAAGGGCCTCTGCAGCTGGATCTTGAGAGAGCAAGATAGGCTCAATGTTATCACTAGGGCCCTTATAAGCAGAATGGGGAGGTGGAAGAGGTCAGATGGACACAAGCTGAGAAGGGTCAAGCTACTGCAGTTGGTCTGAAGATGAGGAAGAGGCCATGAGTCTACGTGCACAGGGGTGGTGGTAGTGGTAGTGTTAGTTCTGGGAAAGGCTGGGAAACTGTCACTTAGGACCTCTAGAAAACAGTGCAGCCCTACTGACCTCCCTTTTAGTTCAGTAAGACCCATGTCAGATTTCTGCTCCACAAACCATAAAATAATACCTTTGTGCTATCTGAAAGCCATGAAGTTAATTTTTTTTTTTTTTTTGAGACAGGGTCTCGCTATGTTGTCCAGGTTGACCTTGAACTTACTGTGTAGTCCAGGTGGGTCTCAAACTCAGAGTGATCCTCCTGCCTCAGCCTTCTGAGTGCTGGGATTACAGGTGTGCACCATCACGGCCAGCTTGAAGCCATGAAATTTGTGGGCATAGAAACAACTCCATCTGATAAGTTGCAAAGGCAGATCTGGTCCTTGCCTCATAGAGCCTATAGTTCCAATGGGAGACAAATGCCTACAGAGGCGATCAGAACCCAGTGGGGTTGTGTGCTATTGGGTACACAGGTGGTTTTGAATATAGTGAAGGTCCCTTACCTGCTAGGGTGGGCAGGAAAGAGGCTGTCACTGAGAAAGGAGGACCAAGGGGGAGTTAGACACAACAGAGAGATGTTCAGTCTCCTGACTGGGGGTAGGGTGGGGTCTGTGTAAAGGCTGTGGAGAACACTTAGGACCAGATGACCCTCCCACAGAGAGCAGCAGCAAGACGACACGGGCCCTACTCATGCGGAGGGACACAGACACTGAGGCAGTGAAACATGCAGATCAGTGTAGGAAGGCTGCAAATGCTATCAAGACCCCCCTCCCCGAAAAAAGAGAAAAACTCCCAGGTGGAGGGAACCAGGAGGCCAGGGCTCCACAACGGCTCACCGCCTGTAGCTATCTGAGGAGGTGGTGCCAGGAAATGGGGGGGGGGAGTGCAGACTCGGGCATCCCAGGGGCTCCAGTGGTGCTTGGTAGGGCCTAGGAGTCTCACACTCAACTTCCAAGGGTCTGGGACAGAGGGACAGGAAGCACATAGACCTAAGCTGACACATACGGTCCTGTGTCCCTCACCCCCAGTTCCTGCCAGGGCCACCTGGGAATTGAGCACTCTCCCTCTGTGACCTGGCTGACCCTTGTTCTCTCCCACTTCCACCTCCGATGAGGCCTTCCCGGCAGACATGACACACTGTCACACTCAGAGGCCCTGCTCCTCACAGCCAGAGGGGACCACACAGCTTATTTCTGGATGGTGTAGTGGCCACACTGCAGGGAACTAGGGCCATCTGAGTGCCTGACCTTCAGCAATTTGCCTAAAATTTCCTGTGCTTTGTCTGCCTGATAGGGTGGCACAAGGAGCGAAGGAATCTAAACAGCTCTGGACCACAGTAGTTTAGTGACCCTTATTTTAATTAACTGGTTCTATCCCCTCCTTCCTCAAGAGAAGGCCCAGGACCCTGAGAGGCCCCACACTTGCTCAAGGTCACACAGCCCACACCGCCTCCGCAGAGCCCGTAACAGTTCCATCAGGCCACCAGCACGCCTCCCTCCCCCGAGGTCCTCCCTCCGGCTGACGGCTTCCCGGGCCTCACCCGGATCGTGTCCACCAGGCTCTGCACCTTGGCCGGGTCCAGCACAGATGGCAGCGGTCGAATAAGCACGCTCAGCGGCACGTTGTGCACGGCGGCGATGCAGCCCGAGTGGATGCTGCCGCCCTGCGCGCCGCC